AGCAGGAAAGCTGACGTTTCGGGTCTGGACCCTTCTTCAGAAAAAGAAAATTCAAGATAAGATAGAAGCAGGGAGGTTATTTCCACTGGTGAGTGAAATTAGAACTAGGGGGCATAGCCTCAAAATAAGGGGGAGCAGGTTTAGGACTGAGTTGAGGAGGAACTTCTTCACCCAAAGGGTTGTGAATCTGTGGAATTCCCTCCCAATGAAGCAGTTGAGGCTACCTCATTGAATGTTTTCAAGGCGAAGATAGATTTTTGAACAGTAAAGGAATTAAGCGTTATGGTGAGCAGGCGGCTAAGTGGAGCTGACACGAAAAGATCATCCATGATCTCATTGAATGGCAGAGCAGGCACAATGGGCCAGATGAATCATAGAATCCCTACAGAATGAGAGCAGGACCTTTGGCCCATCATGTCCACAGTGAGCTTCCAAAGAGCATCCAACCCAGATCCACACCCACCCCCCCCCCCCCCCCCACCCTATTCCCATAACCCCACATTTCCCATGGTTAATCCACCTCACCTACATATCTTTGGGCTGTGGGAGAAAACCCACACAGACACGGGGAGAATGTGCAAACTCCACACAGACAGTCACCTGAGGGTGGAATCAAACCCAGGTCCCTACCGTTGTGAAGCAGCAGTGCTAACCACTGAGTCACCATGCAGCCCTACTCTTGCTCTGATTTCTTATGCTCTTATATAAATGCAGAATGACAGAGACACAATCCAGGCTGACATTTTACTGCATTGCTGAGGCACTGAGGCACTGTCAGAGATACCATCTTTTGGATGTACTGGTAAATCAAAGTCCCATCTCCCATCTCATGTGCACACAATAGATCCCTCTGCACATTTCAAAGAAAGGAACATCCCAGTGCCCTGAGTAATATTTAGTCACTAAACCAGATTAAAATCAGAAAATGCTGGAGGAACTCAGCCGGTCCTACCATACAGCAGATTCATTACTCTATTAAAATATCAGAGCTCTGAAAAACGAATGGGGTTAGTTTTAATGTTACTAACAGTAATGTTACACTGGTTTTGCCTAAATGTTTTCACTTACATATATTCCATCGTTGTTGGAATCTCTGATAAAAGTTGCACAAAACACAGATAACAAAAATAACTTTGAAATTGAAACTAGCAAGCATCCAAAGAGAACAACAACATTAGTTTGAACTCATTGATCCAAACAGTGAACAGCATTATAGAAAATGGCTCAGTGGTTAGCACTGCTGCCTCACAGTGCCAGGGAGCCCGGGTTTGATTCCACCCTCAGGCGACTGTCTGCATGGAGTTTGCACATTAAGACCATAAGACATAGGAGCAGAAATTCGGCCATTCAGTCCATTGAGTCTGCTCCACCATTCAGTCATGGCTGATACGTTTCTCAACCCCATTTTCCCACTTTCTCCCCATTACCCTTGATCCCCCTGATAATCATTCTCCCCGTGTCTGTGTAGGTTTCCTCCGGGTGCTCCGGTTTCCTCCCACAGTCCAAAAGATGTGCAGGTTAGGGTGGGTTGGCCATGGGAAATGCAGGAGTTACTGGGATAGGGTAGGAGGCAATTCTGAATGGGATGCTCTTCAGAGGGTCAGTGTGGACTCGATGGACTAAATGGCCTGCTTCCACACTGTGGGGATTTTATAAGCAGAGACTTGTCTAAGTTACAGAAGCAATGAAAAGAAACGAGCATGTGAAGTTCTTTAAGTAGTGTCTAAAGAGATTGATTGATAGGAGAGGATTGGGAGAGTGTAAAAGGCCGAATGACTAGATTAGGGATGGATGACATATGCTGGCCTCACCCGCAATGCTCACATCTCATGGAAGAATTCTTCAAAAAGATGAATTCATTCACTGGGGTGCTGCCTTGCAGACTGGTATTCCACACTAGGGTTTCGCACACAGATGTCTTAATCTGATGCAGTACAGCAGAACTGTTGGAAACGATCTTTCAGCTTCAGGTTGACAAGTCCCAATCCATTGTCTCTGGAGCTCTGCTAATTCACCACTTTACTCCTCCCTCCTCCAGTGCTGATCTTTCAACTCACCTGATAACATTGGCACTGAATGAGGCCACTTGGCCCAGTGTTCATATTCTGCCTCTTGGAAAAATCCATCCGGTTCTCTCAGCTTCCACACCTCTGCCTTTAGGATTTGTTTTTGAAAATCTCTCATGTCTTAATATCATCTTTGCTACAACTTTATAATCTGACTTTCTGCAGTTGTTGTTGTGATGTAGTGGTAATGTCCCGATCTCTGACTCAGGAGTTCTGAGTCCAGAAGTGTGTAATAACATCTCTGAACAGGTTGAGTAGAAAATATTTATAATCTCTCTCTCTTGTGCAATTAACCTTCACACTACACTTTTTCTCTACTTCTTGTCCTGTATGTATATAGCTCTGTGGTTCTGACCAGCTTCAAATCTTGTTGAAATTACAGACGTTAACTTGCTGACATTCACATGAAATTGCTGCAGCTTCTATTCCAATCTCTGTAAAATAAAGAGTTTCAACTGTCTGTAAAATATTGGACAAAGGAAGTTCCTATAAATCTACTTATTTCCGACATTAAGCATTCCAGATTCAACCCATTGATTCTTGTTTACCTTGAGAAAGTGATACAGTATGAAAAGCCGAGCAATCTGTTGAGCAGAAATCCCAATCGTATGTGTATGCTCTGCTCTGACCAACTGCAGGAAGACTCTCACTTCGACGCTAAGCTGTGGTCACTGACTTTGCTTTAAAATGAGTGGGTGAATAAGGGTGAATAAGATTATCTTTCTCCAGCAGTTGCTCTCATTATGTCTCTGTGTGCCATAAACAGGTTCAAAACTACTGGTAAACCATGGAGACAGAAAGGACTGCAAAAGCTGGAGTCAGTAAATGTGAAGCTGGGAAAGCACAGCAGGTCAGACAGCATCCAAGGAACAGGAAAGTCAATGTTTCGGGCCAAAACCATAAACGTTGATCTTCCTGCTCCTCAGATGCTATCTGACTGGCTGTGCTTTTCCAGCTCCACATTTACTGACACTACTGGCAAACCATGCTCAGCTACCCAATTCCATGCTTGTAACAAGAAATAAAAGGCCAGAATGGCTACCCAGGTCTAAAGACGTTTTTTTTTCGAATACTTGTACGGAGGAACATGTGCCATCTAAGGGGATGATCTTTGACCTTTCTGCATCTGGCCAATTACCTTAAATTTGTCCCCCAGTACCCTCTCCTGCAAATAAAGTCATAAGGCTCATTTCAGAAGTGAAGAGAACATAGTGCCGCACTGCCCAACACAATACATTGTATGAGATGAGGTGTGTGTGTGTGTGTGTGCGCGCGTGTGTGCGTGTGTCTGTGTGTCTGTGTGTGCATCTGTGTGTATGTGTGTGTGTGTGCGTGCGTGCATGCGTCTGTAGGTGTCTGGGTTTGTGAGTGTGAGTTTACGTGTTCATGGATGCAGGTGTGTGCATGGGTGATCTTGTGTCTTTGTATGTGTGTGCACTTTTAAGTATTTAATGACATTTACATACATCTGTTTGTGTGTGTCTGTTTGTGTGTGTTGGTGTGTATGTGTGTGTGTGTGTTGATGTATATATTTTATGGTGAGGGGTCTGGGCCCGAAGCGTCAGCCTCTCTGCTCCTATGGTGCTGCTTGGCCTGCTGTGTTCATCCAGCCCTGCACCTTGTTGTCTCTATATATTTTATGTGTGTGTTGGTGTGTGTGTGTGTGTGTGTGTGTTTGAGCCCATTTGTGTGTGGATTCATGCGCTTGTCTGTGCATGTGTAAGTATGCTTATGTCTGTGTGATTATGCATTTGTGTGCTTGCATGTGTGAGTGTACATGAAGGCTGGAATTTGAACATCAAAGGTCATTCAGGAAATGGGAGGTCCATAGACAGATTGGGAACCAAAATTGAAGGTTAGTTGGTAGTTGCAACCATGCATGTCCATTCTCCGAGCATGCATGTGTGAGACGGTTTACGTGTGAGCCAGTGAGAGTAGGATCACTGGTACATTTTTCAAAAGAAGGTGAAAGTCTCAATCTCTGAAGGCTTTGAGGGTTAACCACAACATAGGGAAGACTATAGGCCTTTCCTTGTGGCCATTAATGAGCCACATGAGTTTTTTTAAACAAGAAGATAACACCTTTCCTAATCATTCCTATCTGGGGGTGGTCCCTTAGATGGTCCTTGATTTATTGAATTCAGTTTTGTGATGGGTCATTGAACTCATCAACCTTGAGTTATTGGTGCTAATTATAATGGTTTTATATTCACTAAACTGCTATTTCCAGTGAGCTTGCAACAATCAGTCAACTTTTATTGTCATTTAATCATGAACTGAGCTTATCATAGAATCCCTACGGTATGGAAGCAGGCCATTCAGCCCATTGAGTCTACACTGAACCTCTGAAGAACATCTGACCCAGACCCACCCCTTACCCCTGTATTTACTATGGCTAACCCACCCAGCCTGCACATCCCTGGACATTATAGGCAATTTAGCATGGCCAAACCACCTAACCTGCACATCTTTGGACTGTGGGAGGAATCCAGAGCAACATGAGAATCCCATGCAGACACAGGGAGCGCAAGCTCTGCACAGACAGTGGAATTGTGGAGTTGAACTCAGGTCCCTGGCATTGCGAGGCAGCAGTGCTAACCACTGACAACCATGCTGCCCACTGCATGAGCAGAGTTGGCATCTCATTACCAAGTATCATTCAGGAAAAGAGAGACCCAGGCACAAATTGGGAACCGAAACTGGAGGCTGGTTAGCGATTGCAAATATGAAATGTACAGGTGATGTCCCCCGCAATACAGGTTATTCATTTCTCCACACCCTAATTTTTGTTGACAAAACTGTCCAATGTTGCTGTGTTTTCATCAGTTATTTTAATAACCAACAATACACTATTGGTATGAGATAGAAATATGATCTGGGTAAAACCCTGGGTGAAATAGGACATCAATAACCTCCTGTTTCCTTGTCTCCCAGATTCCAAAGTTAAGATGGAGTTCCCATTTGAAGCTGCCTATGAGGAACTGTGTCCAATTTGTGGAGATAAAGTTTCGGGATATCACTATGGTCTTCTGACTTGCGAAAGTTGTAAGGTATGAAATGTCTGAAGCCATTGCTGGAGGTTTGCATTGAAATGGAAATGCATGCAGGGTGTCTACAGGGATAAGAATGTTCCAGGTTTAATCTCACATTGTACCTGGTAACTTCTCCACAGTCTAAGGAGCATAGCAACAGCCAAAGCTCCCACTCTCAGTCAACCTAGGGATTGGCTGGTATACTCTCATATCAAACAGTTTGGACTCCCCCCTTGATAAGTGGACACTCTGAGATAAGAGAACAATGCCCCACTACCCCCCCGCCCCAACCACCACAATACAGGCCACCATATCTCACAATGACTCACAAGAAGTGGAGAGACATTTTCTTGGGATCAACACAAAGATTGATGCTTAGAAGGTGGGAAAACGCCAAGCTTTGAGAATTAGTGAACGGGACATCCCTCATGAAACAGTTAACAGAAACAGAGCTGTGTAAAACAAAGGTCACTCACATTCAGTTATTTTTAGCGAATCCTCAGCGCCTTGAATATCGAAGGCACATGTCACCTCTCATTTCTGTACTGGAACTCGATGTTCTTGTGGCTGGGTACAAAACACCATGTTTTATGATTAACTACATATCTTGTAATGTTACATTTTGCACGACAATTGACACATGACAAACATTCTCTGTTACTCTCGAACGTATTAAAACTGTCAAGCAAACCTGTTTTATGGCTATATAATAAATATCAGACACTTAGGTTCAAAGTTATAAAAGTAATTTTACATTTGGTATCAGGAAACGTTTCTTCACGATATATTTTCTGGACTAAGCAATTCTGGCTGCAATTAGATAGGACTTTGGTGACACTGCACCTGGAAAGCTGTGGATGGTTTTGGATTCCTTATCTGATAAACGTCTACGTGATTTGAGAGAGTACAGAAAAAGTTCATTGAATTCATTCTTGGGATGAGAGGGCTTCTTTATGATGAGAGATGGATTAATATGGACTGTGGCTGTCTGGAGTTCAGAGGATTGAGAGACGACATCAGTGAAATTTTGAGGGAACCTGTCTGGGTAAAGGCTGGAAAGTCTAGAACCAGGGGGTCACAGTCTCAGAAGAAAGGGTCAGCCATTAAAGACTGGGCAGCACAGTGGCTCAGTGATTAGCACTGCTGCTTTACAGCTTCAGGGACCTGGGTTCACTTCCAGCCTTGGATAACTGTCAGTGTGGGGTTTGCACAATTCTCCCTGTGTCTATGTGAGATTTCTGCTGGGTTTTTCAGTTGCCTGCCACAGTCCAAAGATGTGCAGGTTAGGTGGATTGGCCATTATAAATTGCCCCATAGTGTCCAGGGATGTGCAGTATCATAGGGAGGTGGGTCTGGGTGGGATGACCTTCAGAGGGTCAGAGTGGGCTCGATGGGCTGAATGGCCTGCTCCCACACTGTAGAGACTCTATGAGATGTGGAGAGGTTCCTTCACTCATAGAGCTGTGAATCTGTGGAATTTTCTTCTTTTCAGATGCTTATTCGTGAAGGGTGAGATTGATTATTTTTGCCTCTTGACGAAATCACAAGATATGGAAGTCCAATGGGAAAGTAGGTCAGAGATGAAGGATCAGCCATGTTCATATCAGATAACAAGAGCAGGCCAGAAGCTGGGAATACTGCAGCGAGTAACTCACCCCCGACTCCTCAAAGCCCATCCACCATCTACAAGGCACAAGTCAGAAGTGTGATGGAATAGTCCCCATTTGCCTGGACGGGTGCAGCCCCAACAACACTCAAGAAGCTTGGCACCATCCAGGACAAAGCAGCCGCTTGTTTGGCACCACATCCACAAACATCCACTCCCTCCACCACCGACACTCAGTAACAGCAGTGTGTACTATCTACAAGATACACTGCAGAAATTCACAAAGATCCTCAGACAGCACCTTCCAAACCCACAACCACTTCCATCTAGAAGGACAAGGGGCAGCAGATATATGGGAACACCACCACCTCCAAGTTCCCCTCCAAGTCACTCACCATCCTGACTTGGAAATATATCGCCGTTCCTTCAGTGTCCCTGGGTCAACATCCTGGAGTTCCCTCACTAAGGGCATTGTGGGTCAACCCACAGCAGGAGGAATGCAGTGATTCAAGAAGGCAGCTCATCCCCACCTTCTAAGGGCAACTAGGGATGGGCAAGAAATGCTGACCCAGCCTGTGACGCCCACATCCCACAAGAAATGAATAGAGAAAAAAACAAGGTAGACCTGAGGGGTTGTACTGCCTACATCTGCTCCCATTTCATAAGACCATAAGACATAAGAAATAGGAACAGGATTAGGCTTTTCAGCTCCTCGAGCCTGCTCTGCCATTCAATAGTATCACAGCTGATCCAACGTTCACTTTTCTGTGTTTTCCCTGTAACCCTTGACTCTCTGACTGATAGAGAATCTCTCTATCTCGGCCTTAAGTGTACTTTGCCCCCACACGTCTCTGTGGCAAGGAGTTTCAAAGACTCACAATCCTCTGAGAGAAGAAATTCCTCCTCATGTTCAGTCTTAAATTGGCACTGCTTTTTTATGTCCTACAATCAAGTTAGGGAGGTGGGCTGACCTTAGTTAACTAGAGCATAGGGCTGAATGGTACCAACAGTGTGGGTTCAACCAATGTATCATGGATTGTAGTCCAGGAGGGATGACACCCCTCATGCTTAATGTGGATGGATACCCCTCAAACTGCCTGGCAACTTGTCGTTCAAACAGAGAGAGAGAGAGAGAGATGCCCATGGTCGCCCTTATGGGCCACAGCTAATTGCTTACCCCTGATTATCATGTTGAATAAATTTCCTTTAGTGTGAAGGAGTGAATGATTGAACAAAAGATGGGAGATCATGTAGATCCTTCCAGATGGATGCTACAATAGGTGGTCTACCTCATCCATAATGATCTTGTGATTGTGATGCGCAATTGCTTGTATAAAAAAGCACCATCTAATCATAAAAACATCATCATAAACAGTGGTAAATATTAATGAGTACCAATGGAGGTGCCAGAAGCAAAAGAACTTGCATTTCTGTAGCCCCTTCTGAACATCCCAAAGCACCTGAAAGCCATTGAAGAGTACTTTGCTGTCAGAAATGTAAAAACCAATTCACGGCCAGTTAGCTCCCACAGACATCATCTCTTCTAGTGATGTTGGGTGGCACAGTGGCTCAGTGGTTAGCACTGCTGCCTTGCAGTACCATGGACACAGGTTCGATTCCACCCTCAGGCAACTGTCTGTGTGGAATTCACACATTCTCCCTGTGTCTGCGTGGGTTTCCTCCGGGTGCTCCAGTTTCCTCCCACAGTCCAAAGATGTGCAGGTTAGGGTGGATTGGCCATGCTAAATTTCCCAAAGTGTCCATGGATGTGCAGGATAGGTGGGTGGGATCCCTTCAGAGGGTCAGTATGGACTCGATGGGCTGAATGGCCTTCTTCCAAGCTGTAGGGATTCTATGATGTTGGTTGAGGGCCAAATATGAACTAGAAGATCTGCTCCTCATCGAAAGAGGGTTATAGCATCTTTCCCAAAAGGGTCCTTGGTTTGATGGGCCATCTAAAAGATGGCCCCGGTGGCAGGACAGTACCGCATTGATGTGATAGCCTAGATATTACGCCAGCTGGTCTTCAGTTCTCTTTAGCAATTCTGGGTCTATGGGAAAGACTTCCTTTGCCTATCCAGTAATGATCTGCTTAAGAGGGTTAGAAACTCCTATTCTGCCGTCTAAACAGGAATTTGATAAACGACAAGTCAGCGTAGAGTTAGTGGGGGAAGGATGCAGCAGAGGAGATGGGTTTGAGGTGAAACAAGCTTGTCAAACAATGCTCTTTATAAACAGGATGCTGCTTTCAAGTGGTCTTGACAAAGACAAGTCTTTATCACATGAGCCAATTAACTTAGGAAGGAATTTTTTTTTTGAAAACGTAGTTTGTATTCATCTAAGCAATGGAGTCCAGTGCTGAGAAAAGATCACTTGTTTCCCTTCCTACCGCCTATCTCAGGTCAAGAACAACAATACTGTAAGTACAGCCCTGTCTTTGCTCCATATGACATATGTTCAGCATTAAAAGTTCTGCTTCTGCATCAAGTAGGGTCTCAACAACCATACCTTGCACTTATATATTGCCTTTTTATGTACTGAAGCATCCCAAGTTGCTTAACAGCAAAGGCTCTATCAATGTTTTGAGAATCAACTACGTAAGGAGATAAAAGGATAAACCTTTGATCAAGGAGGTAGTTTTACGGATCTCCAGATGAGTGACAAAGAGAGAGAGAAAAAAAAACAGGTGGTGAGACTGGGGCATGAGATTCAGCGTCTTAGGAATTCCAGATGGTGACTACATGCCCAGCTACTAGGGAGGTGTTAAGGCCAGACTTACAGGAGCATTCAAAACAAACTTTGGACATCGACAGGCCAATTACTTATCAAGAACCAAAGCAGAAGGGGTGGTTTCTGGTTCACTTCCCCGCACGTTGTTAATCATCATCAGTCACTAATTCGAAAAGCACAGCTTGCATTACTCTGTGCAAATCAGCAACTCCGACCACACGCAGCTGGCAGACTTGCCGGGCGAGAAGGAAGATCCTAGAATACGCTCCACTCGTTAAAGATTAACAGTCAGCTCTAGTTAGATGATGCCCTTAATCCATAAAATGATGCGGTGGGCAGGCTACGCGGTGACTCACCGGTGCATATTCATGATTTGTGTGACATGCAACTCCCCATTCAAAGCTTGTTCTGTGATTTTAGTAACGAGAGAAGGTCAGCGAGTTTGTACGTAATCACTTTGAGCATTATGTCACCAAAGGCTTTCACACGCTGAGGTATAAATCCACCAAGAACAAGAGTAATGAGCAAATGCACATTGGCAAACTATTGACATCCTAGAGAGAGAAGTGGGGGTAGGTGCAGAATGAGAAGTTGATTCACTGCCATCTGTTTGGGGTTACCCCCTGGAGAGTAACTCCTGTCCCACCTACTTTCAGAAGGCCTGAAGAGTCAACTGTGTAACGATGGGACTAGAGCCCTGTGCAAGTCAGATTGGCTACGCGCTGAAAGTTTCCCTTCCCACAAGGCATTAGTGAACCAGATTTTAGCCGATATTGGTCAGTTTTACGCAGTGTTTTCATTTTCCTAGAACCAGGCAGCTTTATTGAATTCAGAACTTGCCGAGGTGGGATTTTAACTCACAGTTTTGGTCTCCTGACTTAATGAGGGAAGAGTATTGTTGCATTGCAGCCACTTCAGAGAAGTTCACTTTCACAAATTTCAGCAGATTAGGCCCCTACACTTTGGAGTAGGATGCGTTCTTATGACCACAACAATTAGACCATAAGAGGTAGGAGCAGAGTCAGCCATTCGGCCCATCAAGCCTGCTCGCCATTTGATGAAATCACGGCTGATTTGATACTCCTCAGCTCCACTTTCCTGCCTGTCCCCATAACTCAATTTCCTTACTGATTAATAATCTGTCTCACATCCCTTGAATATACTTACAGCTTAGCCTCAGTAGTCCTTTGCCATGAACAATTCTGTAGGTCCACTCCCCTCTGAGAGAAGAAATCCCTCCTCATTTCAGTCTTAAATGTGCGACTCCTTACTCTGAGATAACGCCCTCTGGTCCTAGGCTCTCCCACAAGGCAAAACAATCTTTCCACACCTACCCTGTCAAGTCCCCTAAGAATCTTTCATAAGAATAAGTACAAGTCCCACCTTCTCCTCATAAGAAAATCTGGGATCGTCCTCGTGAATTCGTCTGATTGCCTCCAATGCTTTCCTTTCCTTAGATGAGGAGACCAGTGCTCTTCATAGAATTCCCGTTACGGATTGACCAGTTTGACACATATTTGTCTGTTAGAGAGCTTGACAGGATAGGTACAAAGGGGCTGTTTCTTCTCGTAGGGGAGTTTGGAACAAAAGATCACACTTTCAGATTAAGAGGCCTTCAATTTACAATGGAGGTGAGGAAGAATTTATGTTCTTAGAGGGTCATGGACCTTGGGACTTCTCTGTCCCAGAGAGCAATAGACGCTGGGCAACTGGACATATCCAACTTTGGGACAGACAAGTTCTTGAACTAGAGATGACTCAAGGGTTGTATAGAAGAGGCACAAAAGTGTAGTCGAGGTTAAGATCAGATCTGCCATCTTGTTGTCAAATGGTGGGGCAGGCTTGGTGGCTCGAAAGGCCTGCTGCTCATATTTCCAACCTTCTTCTGACATCAAGGTTGTTCTTCCAACACATATGTCATCACAGTGTTTTACTGTACTCTGTACCTTCTCCAAAGTCAACATGTCCTAAGTATACTCCAGAGAGTGGGGTTATGCCGAGTGGGCACGAACCTGTGCTCTAGACAAAGCTCAAACAACAACTACATCATAAGTTAAAACAGTAATGTTACTGTAACTGGCCTTAAGGAAATAGTTGAAATCTCTGGCTGACTTCAGGCTGTGGAAATAAGAGGTCAGAGCAGCATTTCCTAGTCTGGTAGCTGCCTGTCCACATTTCAGAGGAAGTGTTGCTGATTAACTAAATTAAGAAGCTGCGTGTATTCTTCTATTTTAGGGGTTTTTTAAACGCACAGTTCAGAATAACAAACGCTACACCTGTGTGGAAAACCAGAGCTGTCAAATTGACAAAACCCAGAGGAAACGGTGCCCTTACTGTCGGTTCCAAAAATGCTTGACTGTTGGAATGAAGCTGGAAGGTAATTACCTCATTCATATCCATTCTCTTTTTTACAACAATACAGCAATGTGCTTTTACATAGAACCTTTGGCCATAGATTAAGGGGGGGCAGCTGAGTTACCAATAATGGAGCAGTGGGAATGAGAGATATTGAAGAGGCCAGAATTGGTACGAAGCAATGATCTCAGAAGGTTTTAGGACCACTGAAGGGAGGTAAAAAACCACCAAGGGATTGTGAAGGGGATAAATATCCTCTCTGTTAAGAGGAAATGCTCAGAACATGGGTAACAGGGCACTTGGCACCTGAAACTGAAATCTGGCCAATGTCCATCAGAAATGGTAAGTGATAATTTATTTTTCCCTCCAATGGTCATCGACCTCTATTTGTTGGGGAATTAATCTGTGGACATGGATTCCACCACTTACCCCATTCTCCCAGAGAAGTTACATCTTGATTTAGGCTATGTACAGGCATAGACACTGAGCTTGGGTAATTTAATCAAAGGTGGCCCCGCACTGTGTCCAATTCTATCCTGACTGAAAGAAAGCCCACACACACTGACATCCAAATAGAGCAACCCCATCAAAGTGAGGAACAGCAGGAGGAGTACTCATTATATCCAACCAGCACCTTTATCTCGTCAATTCATGACTGATCTGCATCTTAATGCCATCCACGCATATATGGGGGCTCTACCCCTTTCTGGCTACTGAGACCGCTGACCCCTTCCTATCACCCTGGCTGAGACCAGAGATTACAGATCGGTTATCTGCATTGCGCTCACCAAGCCATTGAGAAGCATCGAACTTATGTTATCTCAGGGAGGATTTCCATGCAACAGTTACCCACTAAGTGAGTGGACAGGGTCCTAGTTCAAGCCTATAGTCATAATATACAAAAGTGTCAAATGCTTACTTCAGTTCAAAGAACAAAGAACAAAGAAAATTACAGCGCAGGAACAGGCCCTTTGGCCCTCCAAGCCTGCACTGAGCCAGATCATCTATCTAAACCTGTCACCTATTTTCCAAGGATCTGTATCCCTCTCCTCCCTGCCCATTCATGTACCTGTCTAGTTACATCTTAAATGATGCTATCGTGCCCGCCTCTACCACCTCCGCTGGCAACACGTTCCAGGCACCCACCACCCTCTGCGTAAAGAACTTTCCATGCATATCTCCCTTAAACTTTTCCCCTCTCACCTTGAAATCGTGACCCCTAGTAATTGAGTCCCCCACTCTGGGAAAAAGCTTCACTGAATATGGAAACCCTGGTAATGCTGGGACAACTTCATGCATACAACAGCATTACCTGACTGCAAATGGACTGAGGCTTATGTATGTACAGATAAAGGACACATAGAATCCACCCACTGGGGATAGAGCTTGCTCTTGCACACCTCTTTCTCATGTTCTGGCTCTAGCTATGAGGAAGTGCTTTTCAGGGACTCCCTGTATTGCTTGTAGCCTCTCGCTTTCTCCCTCATCCACCCCCATCTGTTGATAATGAATCTCCCGATATCTCGTCTCCCCTTTGGAATTGTGGGCTTAGCCACAAGATGCCATTGTAGTGCAGGTGAGGACTCAAGTGGGTTCAGTGGTAATGTCCCCAGTTGCCTCTCTGTATCCATGGCTGGGTTTATACTCAGCAAACAGCACCTTGTCTAAGATAGCTGGAGGAGCAAACTCAGTCTGAGCTGAACAGAACCATGCGGTCTGGGCTGTAGCAGGAAATCGAGCCTATGGGAGAGTCAGGAAAGATGAAAGTGATTTCCCTTTGCATATATTAATGTGCTAAGAACACAACCCGCTAAATGAATACACATTCGTGCTTATAAACCGAAAGAACTGAGGATGCTGTGAATCAGGAACAAAAACAGAAGTTGCTAGAAAAGCTCAGCAGGTCTGGCGGCATCTGTGATGAAAGAAACAGAGTTAACGTTTCGGGTTCGGTGACGCTTCCTCAGAACTGATGGTGGCTGGGAAAACGTCAGTTTAAATGCAGAAAATAGGGAGGTGGGTGGGGTAGGAAGTAAACAATAGGATAGACTCCCTACCCCACCTCCCTATTTTCTGTTTTCCCAGCTGCCATCAGTTCTGAGGAAGGGTCTTTGGATCCGAAATGTTAACTCTTGTTTCTTTCATCACAGATGCTGCCAGACCTGCTGAGCTTTTCCAGCAACTTCTGTTTTTGTTGTTGTGACACATTCGTGCTTATCTGCTGTCAGACAAGTTGATCTATCATTCAACGTTCTCTTTCGCAAACAGCTGTACGAGCAGATCGCATGAGAGGTGGTCGGAATAAGTTTGGGCCCCTGTACAAACAAGACAGGGCGCTGAAACAGCAAAAGAAGGCCCTCATTCACAGCAATGGAATCAAACTGGACCCTGCCTCCTACATGGTGCAGAGCTTACCAAAGGACCTCAGCTCTCCCGTCGCCAGCGAGAGCCTACATTCTCCATCCAAGTGCCTTTCCTTGAGCTACAACAGCCTATCATCAGCAGCGGGAGATTACGAGAACAGTGCAGCCAGCACTTTGCCAGTCAACGTGCCCTTCGCCCCACACGGCACCATGCCAGGCTACCACCTGTGCAGCCCCTTCCCGAGCTGTCACATCAAGTCAGAACACATGGACCCCAGATACGCGGGCTCACCAGAGCCGATGCTCAGCAGCCTGTACCTAGAGACCTACAGGCCCAATCCATCGGCAGCTGTGCCCCAGCTGATCCAGGAGTTGGTGAAGTGTGAACCAGATGAGGCACAGGTCCAGGCAAAGATCTTAAGCTACCTCCAGCAAGAGCAGACTGCCAGGGGGAAGCACGAGAGGCTCAATACATTTGGAATCATGTGCAAACTGGCTGACCAAACCTTGTTCTCATTGGTGGAATGGGCCAGGAGTAGTATATACTTCAAGGAGCTGAAGGTAATGCAATGCACAAAGAAAAGAATGATATTTTTTACTTTCATTGGCTAAATAGACAGCCTGTTCATCAATTTTGATAACTCACTAAAAATATTCATAACCTAGTGTAATGGACTGGACCAGGCCCCCTCAAAATATTTTAAGAAGGTAGCCTACACCCTAACTTTTTCTTATTTTAAAGGTAAACATCAGGTGCTGTGTTCCAGATACAATTCAATTGGTCAAACTACTCAACATTAAGCAAAACACAATTTATTCAAACACTATAGTTAAAGCACAACAAAAGAAATAAAAACCGAAAGAACTGCGGATGCTGTAAATCAGGAACAAAGACAGAAGTTACTGGAAAAGCTCAGCAGGTCTGGCAGCATCTGAGAAGGAGAAAACAGAGTTAACGTTTCGGGTCCGTGACCCTTCCTCAGAACTGTTCTGAGTGGCCTAAGTTTTCTGAGTCTTCCTCAGTTCTGAGGAAGGGTCACCGGATCCGAAACATTAACTCTGTTTTTTTCCTTTACAGATGCTGCCAGACCTGCTGAGCTTTTCCAGCAACTTCTGTCTTTGTTGTTGTTGTTGAAAAGAAAGAAGAACTTGGAATGACTTAACTCTGTTGGAAAACTTAACAGGATAATAGGTACAGTAACTATTACTAGTTAACCGTTCCAATATAGTAACATCCCTTAAACACAGCCTTGGCTAATGGCAAATTCAGAAAAACAGATTTTGTCTCATATGCAATCCAACAGCTCAGGAAGAGAACCGCCAGATTTTGGCTGTATTCAAGATGAGAGAAAAATATCTTTCATTTCTTCAAGACCCCAAAAGCAACTGCTGAAAACTAAAAACTAAAAATCCCTGGTTCTGTGTGTGGGAGCATGATCACACTCAGTCAGGCTACTTCTGTTGTCCCATCTTTTTTTAAAAAAAGCATCTAAGGCTTCATAAGTTGTTTATTTTCTCATAGACTGCTCGCGCCTGTCCCCCAATCTCTCTCTAAAAGAAACCAGAACAAAACACACCTCTTAAAGCCACAGCGGTATCACACGAGAAGTTACAGAATCTTCTCTCCTGACTACACCATCATTGCAGGATAGTATTGAGGCTTGGGAGGTAATAAGTGCACAATGTATCTTGGAACTCACAGCACCTTATAAATTGCCCTATAAATTACAAGAGTCAAGTTTAAGCTGTTTGATAACGCCATGGTGAAACCTACCAGATGTTTGAAACACAGTTCAAAGAAGGGATTTGGCACTTTCACTGTGATAAAGCATGTGTGACAGTAAAGACCACATGTCAGGGTTACATGTGACAGGGTGTGTGTGTGACAGAGTATGTTTGACAGGATGAGTGTGGAAAAGCACATGGAACAAATTGATCTGAGAAAACTCTGTGATGACCATTCCTTGGAATGGCTGCAATAAAATCCATGGATTGTGTCTCTCCCAAAGATTCTCCCTGCAATTTGGCCCTTCACAGATTCCGTAGTCTCTGGATCTCTAGGAAATGGTGTATCTACACTTGCACTCTGACCTTAAATCTAACTCTAACTCTATCCCTAAACATAACCCTAACCCTAACCCTAACACCAGTGTTACTAAGCTGTTATTGTTCCAAGCCCATTCCTTCTCTAACTAATTGTTTCCTTATTGTAAGACTCACACTCTTAGTAATCCTGTAAAATTGTTATTTATACTCCGACATATATCCTACTGCGTATATAACTCTCTGATACAGTGTTTCTCTTCAGCTCCTCTTTGAGTCTCAATCATGTTTCTCTCTGCTCTGCTTTGCTGCTGTTTTCAGAGTGGGACCATCATTTACTTTATCATCATTAGCACAATCATATCCCATTAACTGCACAAAGCGCCACTGACATCTGTAATAAATCACAGGTAGACTATGTGAGCAGATAGTAGGGGATGGCCTAGTGTTATTATCGTTAGGCTATTAATCCAGGGAGGCAGTTGATGTTCTGGGGACCTGTGTTCAAATCTCACATAGCATTTGGCAGAAATTGAAATTGATAATAATCTGGAATTAAGAGTCTAATGATGTCTGTGAATCTGTTGCTAATAGTCGGTGGTGGGGGGAATACCCATCTGGTTCCTTGATGCCATTTAGGGAAGGAAACTGCCATCCTTAGCTGGTGCGGACTACATGTGACTCCAGACCCACAACAATGTGGTTGACTCTTAACTGCCCCCTGGGCAATAAATCCTGGCCTGGCCAGCAACGCCTTCATCCTGTGAATGAATAACAGAAAAGATCTAGGAGATGGACTAGTTACTGCAACAATCCACACACCTTCCCTTCCAACAAAAATAAGAGCTAGTTTGGGTGTCAAAAATTCCATTGTCTTTATCGTATCATTTCTGCTCATTCAAGTGACTGAGCTCCTTGCAATTGCTGGGAGAGAATTAACAGAAAAGACTGAACTAATGTTCATTAAAGCACATTTTCTGTCCTCAGAATGTCTCAAAGCACTTCAAAACCAATACCTGAATTTTGGAATTTGAGACGCCACTGTTCGAGCCATCAAATGAGGCAGCCACTTCATGCACAGCAAGATCCCAGTATAGCAGCAATTAAGATTACCCAGTTAACTTAATCGCAGTTTGTTGATTGAGGGATATCGTGGTCTGGCCCACCATTTTTATAGGTTTCTATAAGTGGCTCAACTCTCTAGAAGTGGGGTGCACACTGTCAGGGTGAAAGCTGCCTGTTAAAATGTTTCAGATTTCAACACCAAGATGTTGCGGCCTGACTACAGTCTGAGCAATTAGCAAATGCAACCGTCTTCAGTTCGTCATGTCATTTCACAATACAAAGGTGAAATGTACAATAGCTGACAAGTAGTGTTTCTCAAGCAGGAACGTGGCCATCATTGCCTCTGCTTTCTCCAACCTGATTTAGCATTGTTAGGTTATGGCGGTCTCACAACCTCCCAACTTATGGTGCAGCAGGCAGCTCCAGATACTGCTGGACTTGCAACTTTACCAAACGATCGTCTATGTTTTAGAAATTCCTCTCCAGCCTCACCCGTCCCTATCCCTGTAACCTCTCACACAACTCTCCAGCATCCCTGCACTCCTTCAAAGCCAAGGGGTATGGACCAAGGCATGCAGGCGTATGGAGTTAGGCCACAGATCAGGCATTATCTCATTGAATGGTGCAACAGGCTTGAGGGGCTGAATGGACTACTCCTCAACATACATTCCTATATTCAATTCTCCCCTCTCCCATGTCTCTAGGTTTCTTTTCTTCACCATTGGAGGGTGGGCCTGGCAATGCATAGGCCCCTAAACTTTCCTGAAATCATTTTACTTCTCTTTCGATCCTTCAAAGTATTGTTTGAATCCACCTCCTCAACCGAGCTTTTGGTCAATTCTCCTCATATTTCCTTGTTTGGCTTGATGTCAAATGTTGTTGAGTGAAGTCCCTTGAGTTACTTGGTAATCTGGGATGTGCTATGTAATTGTTGCTGCGAGTCAGATATTGTCAACACCAATATCCTCAACAAAACAAAGTCAGAAGCCAGTGGCCTGTGCAATGTTGCTTTGTTTGGAATCGATGGTGCAGCAGCTGTGAGTTGGGAGTGAACAGCGGATGTGTTCTGTGACAGGAAGAAAGTCTTTTGTTTGCAGGTTCATCTGCTCACAATGACATGATGGCATTTCTGGTCTCAGGAACTATCCTGACTGTCCAAGTAAATAGGATGGGTTCTGTCCTCCCCCTCCCAGCCAGGGGAATCCCTTCAGTTCAGTTACAACTGAGACGTTTATCAGTGTGTTTGTTTTTCTTTTGCAAAGCGAAGGACAGAGGGCTGACCCAGGCAGTAAGTTGTCAATGTAGTGAGGCACCAAGAACTGGGAAATTTCTCTCTCTAATTCACAGCTTCTTCCAAGCCATCTGAACTGGTTCACCAGCCCAGAACGTGGGGAGAGTTGGACAATCAGCTGGATCTACTGTTTGCATTCCAATCACCCACTTTCCCCAGGATTGCTCTGATTTTGAGTTCCAATATTGCGGCGTCCTTATCTGAGGAAGGATGTTCTTGTTATCAAGGGAGTGCAGAGAAGGTTTACCAAATGGATTCCTGGGATGACAAGATTGACATATGAGGAGAGATTGAGGCAGTTAGGATTGTATTCACTGGAGTTTAGGAGAATGAAGGGGGATCTCATAGAAACCTATAAAATTCAAACAGGACTAGAGTGGGTATAATTCTTTTCTCTTTATTATATTTTGCTACAACTTGACATGAATTGAGTTGCACTATCCACAAAGTGCAAGACATTTCATTTTTCTACATCTCATACCTTCAAATCCATTGCTCCAATTTAATTAAAAAGTCTCTTGTTAATTATGGACTCTATGAACTCTGTTGGTATCCTCCTATATTTCTTACACATGTCGCATTTATCTCTGATCCGTTCTGCGAATTTAATATACTCATTGCCTCTTACTCCTGCATCCTATGGTGCAGTTTTTAACCAGCGAGAAGCTGGATGGGCAAACTGCTGATGTAGTTTAAAATAGCGAGCCTTTTTAATCTGTTATTTTGTGGATACCGCTCATTAACTACTCAGTCTTACGGCTCCTTTAACCCACTAGTCCAACCTGTTACCCAGCAATGAATTAATCAATTGGCCTAATCACCTATATTAACAGGGAGATGGGGGTGTGAATTGCGCAATGACAGCTGGTAAAAATTAAATTCATATAAGTTAATTACAATTAGAGGGAGCATCAAAGTGGTAGAGTCACTGCCCTGCACCGGGAGGCCTGGGTTTGAGGCCCATTGGCTCTAGAGGTGTGTAATAACATCTCTGAACAGGGTGACTAGATTAATAAAAATTTGAAACCTAATGGGCAAAGTATTTGACATTGGACCCAATTTGGGTGCTACCAAAAGACTGTAGGTTCAAGTCTTGCTTCCCTCGCTTGCATGGTTATGGCTGAGTGGCTAAAGCACTAGATTAGGAAATCCAATGGATTAC